AGGGCTGGGCTAGCAGGGGGCTGCGGGTCGGGAGTGAGGGGCACTGCAGGGCTAGGGGGCGGTACCTTTGCAGAGGGGTGGCTGGCTGGTCCACTGGGACGGGTGCCCTGGGACGCAGGTGATGGTCACTTCCCCGATGAGCTCGAAGCCCTCGTAGCAGAAGAAACGCAGCGACTCGCCCGCCTGGTAGTGATGCTTGTAGAGTGTCTGGTAGCCGTTCTCGGGCACGCCGGGGTTCAGACACGGCTCGTACTTCACTGCAAGAGAGCAGAGCCCTTGACGCTGCCCCTCACTCCCAACCTGCAGCACCCCAGCCCCACCAGTGCCCCTCACTCCCAACCCGCAGCCCCCTGCACTCACAGACACACTTGGGGACGCGGTCGCTCCATTTGGGGGTTCCAGTGTCGCGGTTGTAGCAGGTCAGGGTGCTGCTCCCCTCCACCACGTAGCCCTCGTGGCAGAAGTACTGGACGTGGGAACCAATGGAGAAGCGTCGGTCTGAGACGCTTCGCTTCCCATTAGCGATCTCCCCCGGGTCAGCACAGTTCACGACTGTGGGGAGAGAACAACGGGGGGAGGGAGCAACAGGGTATGAGACACCCAGACACATACTAGGGCTCCCCCAAGTCAGGACAAGGACTCAACCGCAACTTTGGACTGAAGCACTAAACTGGTGTGAGTAGTGGGATTCCAAGAGTCTGTCATTGGCCTGGGTGGTGGGAGTGATCACCCTGCTCCTGGGATGGGTGGTGGGAGCCGTGACCCCGCCCCTGGGATGGGTGGTGGAAGCCGTGACCCCGCCCCTGGGATGGTGGCAGGGACCACAACACCACAGTGTGAGATGTAGGATACCCAACCTGGAACTTTGTGGCTAAGGTCCCCTGCAGGAGGAAAGGACGCTCCCCTTTTCTGTGTCTGAGATGGGATTTGAACTCACAACCTGGCCGCCAGCCCTAGCCCTAGCCGGGGATTTGTTCAATACTGGTGGTAGCAGTGGGATACCTCACTCCACCGGCCCTGGCCGGGGGGTCTCATCATAAGGAGGGGATACTCTCTTGGCACTGTGGTGAGAATCCAACTTTGAAGCTTGGCTCTGAGCCTCAGAGAGGGGCAGGTCCCTCACTCCTGCTCTCCCAGCATGGGCTCTCCCCAGACGGGGTGAGCCTTAGGATGGGTGTCAGCAATGGGAGTGGACTCCCCCTTTTGGTACAAAAGGCAGGCACCTTGGTACTGAGCCCCAGCCTGAGGTAGCCTAAGGACTGGTGGCAACGGTGGGATACCCAGCTGTGTTACTGGTGGCAGCAGTGGGATGGCTGGCTGACCTGGTACACCTGCCCACTCTGTTGATGGTACTATGGGATCCCTGATTGTGCCGCAGTAGCAGTGGGGATACCAGGCTACCTTGTTAAGTAGCCAAGGGATAACGGGGGATGGGGGGAGAGGTGACGGCAAGTAAATCATGGTGAGAAGATGGGAGACAGGAATGGGAGGGACAGAGGGATACCTGGCCACGCCATTGGTGGAAGTGGTGGCCCATGGGGGGTGGGATGCCTGGCTGTGCTGTTGGTGGGAGAAGTGGGATCCAAAGGCAGCCCATGGGGCTAAGGGTTCCAGGGGAGGGCAGGGGTCACTCACTCTTCTGGCAGGTGGGGGGGCTGTTGCTCCAGGCCAGGTCCCACTGGCAGGTGAGGATGTCAGAGCCCACGATGTCGTAGCCCGGCTCGCACTGGTAGGTGAGCACCGTGCCCCGGATGGCAGCCGCATGCGAGGCCGTGCGCCAGCCAAACTCCACCTCTGGCAGCTCTGGGCATGTGTCGTTCCGGGGCACCTCTGGGGGTGGAGAGGTGAGGGGGGGCAGGGTTCCCTTCCTGCTACCCCCTGGCCCGCACCTCCTCCAGCCTGGCCCCCCTTCACTCGCCCACCTCTCATCTCCTGTTGCCTCAGAACCCCCCAGCGCTCCTTTCCCCTGCCGCCCTGTTCCCCACATCCCCCTCCATCTGACCCCCTTGTGTCTCCTTGTGATCCCTCCCCCCCCGCTGCCTCAGTACCCCCTCCCCCTCTCAGCCCCAACCCTGCCTCCTCCCACCTGAACCTCCCCGCTCACGGCCCCCCCCACTGCACGGGCCCTACCAGAGAAGCGGATGAGGAAGCCCTGGCTGAGGCCGAAGAGGGGGTCGCTGGGGTCCGACTGGAACTGCAGGGTGGCGGCGCTGGCCGAGGTGTAGAGGCGGAAGCGGGGGTGGGCACCCATGTACTGCCCCAGCACCCGGCCCGTCAGGTCCTCGCCGTCCAGCACCGTCAGCACGTCGCTCTTCCGGATGTTTAGGCTGTGTGGGAGTGGGGGGTGTCAGGGGCTGGAGAGTGAGACTGGGGGCCAGGGGAGCGATGGGAGGTTATGGAGTTGGAGGGGGCAGAGGAGCGATGGGGGACATTGGTGTTAGCGGTGGGATACCTGACAGCACAGTTGGTGAGAGCCGTGGGATGATGGGGGTAAGTGGATCATGACAGAGGAAAGATTGGGGGGGGGTCAGTCCGAGAGAGGGGGAAGGAGGGGAAGGAGCAGGGTCGTTGGGGGGGGTCGTCTGAGAGGGGGGAAGGA